GCAGGAAGGAATTAAAAGACTGCCCCAAATATAGACCTTTTGAGTTCAGTGATTTAAGCAAATAATAGCCCGGGCTATTAGTTGAAGTTTTACGGTATTAATATTTATAAAGCTGCAGTATTATGAACTGGTTGTCCAGGACGATATTTCCTTTTGCTGCAGCTTCACATTAAAAGCATGAGCTCAGGAAATGCAATGTGTGTTTAACACTTTATCAAAAACGCATCAACAAACAAGACAAAGGTCATTTGTCGACAGCGGATACCGAGTAATGGAGCAGTCAGGAGCAGCGAGCACCAAGAGGCGAAAGGCTGCACACCTCAAACCTATCGAGGAACTCCTTTCACTGTGCTGTGTGCAGTGCGAGGGCCCTGACGCACCGAGCCAAGAGTCGGCTGTCGGTGAGCGTCCGTCACCCTAGTTTTGGTGGTGTGTCATGCGCCGTTGTCAGCTGTTATTCGGCTGATTCAGCAGGTTGATTCAGCAGCAATGGTGAGCAGACAAACGGCTGAAGTCAAGAGGGAGTGAGATCAAAACACTTTAGCAGAAACAGTTTGTAATGGTTTGTGTTGTTGATGTGCTAACTGGCTAACTAGCATCTTCTGGTTGCCCTTTAAATGACAAATACAGACTATCGCCACCTGCTGCTTTGGAGAGTTCCTCTGACGCAAGCGCAGAACATATGTACAATTTCGCTATTGTCTTTGTGGTGTGTTCAAGTGCAGCTTTTTGGCCTGGAGACAGGAAGTGAGGCGACACACCAGTTGGAATTTGTGTGTCTGGGCGTTAAAATTGCATCACGGTTGCTCACAGAAGTATGAAAAAAGGCCAAATATTGTGTGACAAGTGTCGCCATGAAATCGTTGAGATTGCCGCTTTAAAGGTGATTTTACAAAATCTGATTGTTTGTCTCACAATTATTGCTTTTTTTATTATAAATCTTTTTTTTCTTTTTTTTAATGAATGATTCACAATTCAAATCACGTCTCAAATAAACCACACGTGTTGATTAACAAGCTCGACTACATTTTCCACTGAGAGAAAATCTCTCATGTGGATCAACCGAAAGAACTTTGCCTGAAAATAGCGTGTTTATGTTGCTGTCAGGTCCTTTAAAAATCCAGAATGAGTGTTACACGCCTGCCTGCCTGCAAACAGTGCACAAATACTGCCTAAGTGTACAGTGTTCAGTGATGTCGAACAGCTGGATATGAAGGAGGCAGGTGCAGGCACATAAAGGAGGTTGAATCTCAGCGGTGTCCACTAAGCTTATCTGAGCTGTTTTATAACTTGTTAATCCGATCAGCTCGAGCACAAATGTATCTGCGCCGGACAGGCCCACACAGATTTAACAGTTTCAAACATTTATACACAAGCCATGCTTTTAACTTGAGGTGTCAAATCCAACTAAATCCGTATTACTGAGTGTATGTCAGGTAATTATTTGAAAAGCGTGTCAAATCCAGTTAGGGGGAGAAAAAGGAGGTTTGATATCAAACTCAGGTGATGTCATCAACAAATCTCTACGCTGCGAGGGAAGGAGGAAGCTGTGGGACTACGACAGGAGAGCAAGCGGGTGGTGATGGCGGCCGGTTGCGCTTTTTTCTTTTTCTTTTTTTTTTTTTTTTTTTTTTGCAACCGCTTCCTGTCCTCGAAATAGAAAAGAGGTTACATTCCAATAATAATTTGAGTAATTAGTGAGATTATTATTAAAGCGATGGAGAATAAGTCTTGCTTTTTAGAAGCAGTTCAGTGTGCTACATACATTGAAGGGGAAGAAGGGAGGGGGCATGGATGAAGCAGGAGTGTGTATGTGTGTGTTTCAGTGTGCGTTTTGTAGGATTCATTCATTTGTACAATGTGCTTCATATTTAGCTGCTGCAGTCTCATTCAGTGTCTTTCTTTCCGTCTCGGTCCAACAGCTGCAGTGTCTCTCTTTCTTTCTGTCTGTCTGATCTAAAGGTGACGGGGCTCAGGTTCGCCACTGGCATCTGCTCTTGTGCTCGAATCTTTATCGAGAGTTTATTTAAGGATGCCGAGGTTTTAGTTACCCACTGGGGGCACTGAGTAACCCAACACCAGGCTGGTTGAGGGCTCTTGGCCATGGACATGCACTGTTTAAGTGTAACTGCGACTCACGGCGGAGGAGTAACACGATGCCGGTTGTATAGGCGAGGAAACATCTTTCTATATCCGTGGCTTCGGGCCTGCTGGAGGTCAGAATTATTCTTGGTTGTGTAAAGATAGCAGAAACATACTGAGGCGTAAGCTGTGGCATGATGACAATGCACACGATATTCAGTTTTTGTTTTGTTTCTGTTTAGTTACTTTAGTGTATGTTTTGCTCTCTAGCCTCAATTGTTTGGGGGAAAACCAAGTAAGGGGACCTTGAGTTAAGATTTTTCTGTCAAAGCTTTCAGTCACATCTCAGTCTTTCTCAGTAGATGGAGTTATGGCGATAGCTCAGTTTTCATATTGTCACGTCACTATCTTCAAACTGTTTAAATGTTTTGTTATGCACCTGATTTGTACATAACCCAAATAATCATGTGCCAGTTATTTGCGTATAATCTACTTATTTTGAAAGGCTGCAACAATGCGATGACAGGAGTAAAAGATAAAGAGGGAATCTCGTAACGAGGCAGGTTGCGGCGGTGGATGGGTCAAAAAACACGGGACTTTCCCCCAGGAGATAGACGTTAGTAACCGAGTGAAATCTGAGTGAGGTTTGAGTCGTTTTAAGGTACGTCATCACCATGTTTCTTTTCCTAACCCTAATCACAGTTGCTATACTTGCCTAAACCTAGCCTCCGTAACTTTACGTTAAGTGGGTACCGTCATTCGTGGGGCGTGAATTTGTAGGATATTGTACGAACTGTTGTTTGAGGATGAATTGAATAGTTTAACTGACTCTTTTGTGTCCGATACGTACCAGGTCAGCCTGTCAAACGTTAGTGTTCGTGAATCCGATTAAATTGGACTCGAGTCGAGACCTCCGCCAACCAAGGCCAATGGTGCATTCATGTGCTCACCAGATACGCTTCCTTCTGACTCTGGTGTGTTCATGAGCTTTAAACTGCAATGTGGAAACAATATGGACGCTACAAAGACTTAATTGCGTTTAAGAGAGCGTTTAAACAACAAGGATCATGTGAGAAATATGGTCGGGAACTAATTTTTCAGACTGTGCCAATACCATGTAAATGCAGCACAAGGGTGCAGAGATGGGATGTCTCGTTCTCGCCCCTCAAACAACGTCAGATCGTTCATCAGCGATATTTCTGTAACATCGTACTGAGCTTACGTACGAATGGGATGATGAATCAATGCATTAAAATGAATAGTTTCAATGTATGAATGTAAACCTATTCATGATGACTGATAAAGCACTGAGAAGTTTGTGGGGCGGGCATGCATGTACATGGACATGTGTTGGGGAGAAACTGACACCATGTTTTGCAGAGAGTATCAAAAGAGATATCCACTGACATGTTTCAACTCGGATGAACAGATAGTGTGAAAAGAATCACTACCTGCAAACTCCATTAGCTGAGGAAGAGCATGAGATGTGTTTGAAAGCCCCAAAGCCATCTAAAACACTTTTACAGGCAGGGAAATACCGACTAACTGAGCTAACTTTAGCATATTTTGCTAACTAGCTACAGCTAAACGAGCACCTGTCAGTGACAGCAGTCATCAGTGGAACTGAGAAGCCTGCTTCAGTCTAACTGCGTCTGGCACAGAAGAGTCAGTTCACAGCCACGATGTGTGAAAGACAACATCAGCTTACACTGGCAGATGTCTCCTCCTGTGCCAAACCCCATTGGTAGATTAATCAAATTAAAACAAACCGTAGCCTTGGACTATGAGTGACAGAGGCAGCAGTAGCCACCACTGAATCCTCTTCAGATGTAATGACATATTCTTCATTTAAGCCGCTTGAATAGTTTCTTTAAAACAAGTGAATATTAGATTTCCACCAGGTCGCTGTATCACTGAGAGGACCGTTAGAAGAAGGAGATGCTGTCGACACAAACACTTGACGATCACTAATGTGTCAATCACTGGCCGCAACGTGCGAGCGAGGTGTTAACGAGTCGTGTGAGCGCGCCCTGTGCCTGCTTTCCATCCCATATTGATCTTGCCTGCAGCAAATTGCCTCCGACTGTGCGAGTTAGCAGCCAGTTTCCATGACCACCACCTCCGTCACCTGTGAGGTCAGACTAGCAGAGGCAATCCAATATCTGGCCAACATGGGAGGCGATACAGAGGTGATTTTACACCTGAGACAGTTACTCGGTGTTATATTCATCCCTTGCAGGAAGGGAGAAAGAGAGTGACAGAAAGCATGTGATGGCGAAGGAGGCGGAAAGAAAAGAAACTAGAGAGTGTGCTTCTTCTATTTTTTTTGTGCGTTCCTGTTTCATCGGCGTTGAAGGACGTGTGCTTGTTCTGTCAGTCAGCAGAGAAAAGTGTTTATCTGCTTTTAAGCAAGACTTCTGTCTGCTTGTGCTGGGCTCGTGTTGCATCTGCAGGACTAGCGAGGACAAAGGGGGGTGGGGGTCGCATGTTCTGGAGCATCGAGGGACACACGGGTGATATGTAGGGGCATTTGCAAAGGTTAATTTGGTGACGGGAGGTTACAGTATTTCGTCATGCTAGATTATAAATTCCAAATCTCCACCTTTTTTCCTCATCTTTTCCCCTCTCTCTTGCCCCCCCTCCAACTTCCTCATCCTTTATCAGTCAATCTCTCATGCAAAAAGGCGTTTCATGACACTTTGCATAATATGACAATAAATCCTGAACAATTCAAATCCCTGCTCCGTCACCCCCCGAAACCACTCGTCTCAATCATTTACTGTATTTCTGTACATCTGCGGAAAGTTTTTTTTTTTTTTCTTTTTTTACTTTTTTTTCTGGTTTCATTTTCTTTTATAATCAGTCACTCTACTTCTTTTTCTTCTGGAAACGTCTGAACTGGTTCTGGATGGCGAGTGCTGCCTTCTCCGTCTCCGGCGCCTCCAGGTCGATGTCGACCTCCTCCTCCTGTTCCTGAGGCTTCGCTGCTGATGCCTTTTCTAGAGGGGCAGAGGGCAGAGGGTGAAGGTTAATACACAGCGGACTGGACAGGAAGTGTCAGTGAATCGATCAATCTGTCAATATTTCACTTTAGCTGCAGTATCTTCAATTTTCTTCCTCACCAAACTTGGGATTGTTCCAGGTAGTGGAGGAAATAAATGTTATATAGTGAGTTCAGGGAGTGATTTCAGACAAAAGCCCTTTTCCAACATATTCTCACTCCAACCTCGTCACATATCTACGCTTGGTCATGGACCTTCCACAGCCAGATACGACGTCCAAGGTACCCTGGGTGCGTTGACTGTTGACATTCTTGACAATGTGTCAAGTTCTGCCTGTCACATGCATTGTCATCTTTCAAAATACACTTCCGTTTTCACAGAAAATTTACAGTTCACATACAGTCTCTTTCAAAATAAAAGCACTACGTCGGTAAAATGTTGAGAATTAACGTTTCTTTGCCATCAGAAACAAATACACGTCGTTAAAAAAACAAAACAGGGTTTGACTTTGTACTCTTAGGAGACGCAAACACCGCTCTCCCTGGTGAAAGTAGGTGTTTGTTGGACTCACCCATCCTACTCGGACTTTCATCGCCTTAACTTTCGTTCATGTCCCCCTGACACTGCTTGTGCCATTAAACTATAACGGCGACCGGCCTCGTATCATGCTGGCGTTAAAGGACTGCTTTTTTCTTCAGTGTCTGACGCCACAAGTCACTGCCCAAGTGCCTGATTTCGACAACTTTGGAGTGAGACTGAGTTACTTATTCGCACAGGACTATTATTACCAGGGGACCTCATGGGATTTAGAGATTAAGCCCCAACGTCTGTGTTTCATGTGTATTCACAGTGGATACGCAAAGTCTGTATTTTACTCAAATTTCTCGACATTTTCTTCCAAATATGATTTCTGTCATAAGACGTGGGATGTGCCAATATTATTCATGTTCTTGAGGCATTCTTTGGGCATGTATACAGCACATTTGGAATATGCTTCTCAAATTGAGCATGGCGTTAGTTCAGGCAGGACATGATGTCAAGCTCAGCTCACATCCCAGCTACATCAGCTGATCTCAAGCAGCCCAATCAACTGATGGAGCAGATGATTGATGGAAGGGAGTCAGCTGATAGATCACATGATTCCTTTCTATGCAACCAATTGGCAAATCTCATTCAGGGCGCTCTATTTAAACTGCTCTGGCCTGCCTACTGTTGCTGCTTCCTCTGCAAGCTGCTTTGCAACCCGCCTCCACCCCAGCTCCTCCTTTTCATGCTGTGTCTGACTTATCAATGTCATTTCTGTTTGTCATTGATGCTGGCTTACCATGTAGGCGCATGAAAGGGCAGGGAGGTTTGCTCTCTCTGCCTCAGGCTTTCACTTATTTGCACATGGAAGGGCAGAGACGTGTGCTCTCTCTGCCTTAGGCTTTTCATATAGGCAAGTGGTAGAGGCATTTTGCGTACGCCTGAGGAAGGGCAGAGAGGCCCCAGAACAGAGCCATACAGCCAAATATAATACTGCAAATGGAAAGAAAATTTTCTTTTGACTAAAGTGTTCCTGACTGGGGAATTTGCCTGTTTACAATGCTTTGTACACAAACTAATGTAACCGACACTTTGTAGGGGCTGAGATGCGTGCCCTAAAGAAAAGCCCACATTTCTGGTCAGAAGACGAAACACACCGACTTTTAAACATTTTAAGAAACTTGGATATTGCCAGTTTTTTGGATGTGCCCAAAAATCGCAACGCTGACCTTTTCAAGAAAGTGGTGGAAGGAATAAAAGTGGTTCGACTTTTTGACACGATAAACATGTCAGGGCACATTAATCGAAGTATGCACAGCTGCATGTGAACTGGAATATAAGGGAATATTAATTTTTCATTAGCCATGTAAACAGGCTAGTAGGAATATTGTCTTTTTTGGAAAAAGGGCAAAACTATGGAATATTTTTGGGCATGTAAATGTTGTCATTGTGTGTCTGTATTTTTTGTAGGTTCCTCTTGGATGAGTCTATACATAGTCTATACATTGCTTTCGAGGAAAATCCTGCACAGTATACCTTTAACTTTAAAATCAAAATGTTAATGGTAATTCTGGATGAGGAAAGAGGCAGAAAAAAAGATGTGGAGAAAATAAAAAAAACTTGCAAAATAAACTAATTAATAAGATTCCAGATCAGTGAGATGCAGACTACCCACTGGTCAGATATCATTTGGCCTCAGTTTGGTGAAATATAGTAGGTAATATGCACAGGAATTTTTATTTGACAAATTATGGACATGGCAGATTCACAGTGGATTAAGATCATAGACGACCTACGTCATTATTACAAAATACTAAAGGTATGCTAGTCCCATGCGAATACGGCTTAAGACCTAAAAATAAAGTGCCTGTTATAGCACAAGGCTGTTTGGAACTGCTCAAGTCTTTCCAAAACATCCCATCTCTGATTTGATTTGAGATGTAAAAATGACAACAAAGAAGGAGAAAATAGAGGTGATAAAAGCTACAGACTATAAATGTACCTAACTGACAGTAACAAGTCAGTGTTTGATGGTGCTTTAAAAACCACACTGCGTGTCGGTCTAATCCACACTGACTCCTGCAAAGAGTCATGTGGATGAACAAACAGCACATCCTGTAGATGAGTCCAGTCAAGCAGAATGATCTCTTAAAATCTTGTGTTTATTAAAGACTGAGGAACATTTGTGGATATTCCGAAAACTAAAAATGTCACCATTATTTTTCAGTTTTATGGAACAGCTCATTTCCTGTGAAAGACCATAGAAATGTTCAGTCAACTTAAAACTGCCAACTAACAGACTGAGTCAGCAGCATGCTCAGAGTGCTGAAAGACTCTTACTGAAATTATATACTGATAATCAGCATGTCTCCAAAGAGGTGAAATACTTCAGACTGACGGCATGAAAGATGATCCTTTTTTTAAGTTGATTTTAGGCAACAAGTAAGGATGATTAGGATAACTGAGAGACTGGCTGATGAAAAGGCAAAACAAGCAATGCAATGTTAGACACAGCTGACGAGGAGGAAATGGGATAAAACAGCCATCAAAGAAGAGAGCTGATTTGCTTTTAAGAATGAAATTCAGTCACGATTAAAACTTCTGAGATGGTACTTGCTTAACCGCAATTTGCTAATGTAATAACTTGTAACGTGCCTATTGAGTACCTGGATGTGAATTTTATATAAAGATAATAACAATTAAAACAACACTTTTAGGCATTTTACTTGAGTTCACATGAGAACATTTCATGTTACAAGGGTTAATACCTGCATGTAAGCCAATCCACTGCTTTATTAGATTTGTTTAGTCATAAATACTACAGGCTACATTTGCAGATCATGACGCCTGCCTTGTGCAAAGACAGATTTTACAAGTGACACAGTTCTGATTACATATATACTAGTCCATACCCATTGAGTACAGCATACCATACCATGACTTAGTCATACCAAAAATTAGAAAAAACAACAACATTGGTCCACAGGGGGAGCCACAGCGATCAGTCACATTTTAGCCATTTTTAAGTATTTTTCTGTTGTTATAGCGCCACCCAGTTGCCAGTTAGAGTTAAATTTCTCCAGTCACCTTGAGGCATCCTGTTCTACATATCTACTAAGTTTAGTGAAAATCAATATGGCGGTTAGGACTAGATAAGAAATTAGCTCTCTAGCGCCCCCATTTTGTTTGATTTGGTCAATAATGGAGGGGTCCCCTCAGATTATGTGTGGTCATATGCCTACAAAGTTGCGTGGTGATCTGTGAAACCCTTGAGATGTTATACACCTTTATGTGATGAGCCACGCCCTCCGCAATATTCATTGCCTTATAGAAGCTCAGTTTTAGTAAGTTTTCCAACTTTTGCCAAGAGGGAACTTTAGATATTGGTCCCTAGATTATGTTCACAGAGTTTCATGCAGATCGGTCAAACTTCCTAGAAGAGATCCATTTGAAGTGTTTTTCAAAAAATTCAAAATGGCAGAAAATCTGTATAATCGGAAGTTATGGGTTCTTGAGGCAAATTTGTTCCTCATGAGGAGAGGCTTCTCTGTGCAAAGTTTCATGTCTCTACAACATACGGGGCATGAGATATGCCCATTCAAAGTTTGCAATTTCAATGGATTGCTTTAGCGCCCCCCTTTGGCCAATTGATGTAACATTGCTTCATTCACATCCTCCCATGACCCTCTACCACTGTGCCAAATTTCACATGGATTGACCAAGTCAGTGAGGAGAAAAACGGGGAACAGACACACAGACACACACACAGAGTTTTCATCTTTATATAGTAAGATGAGCTGCTTTTGTCACCGTTAGGTGCAGGGGATGGCGGATGGTATGACACCTTGGTGAGCCAGCCACCAAACTGCAGACCACTGTTCAAGACCATAGACTCATTAAAAATAATGGATGTAGCTACTGTGACATCGCCAATTGGTTTTTGGACTCCCATTTTTGGCGTTACAGCCATTGTCATTTTGGTTTTTTGGAGATAAAAGTGACCATATTTGGGCAAGAGGCTGGCGCTGTGGAGGAGGGAGGAGGGGTGGATCTGACTGAGAAGCTAAGGACACCATGAGCAGACTGCCTGTTTCTTAAAGGGAGCTGCCTTTTTAATTATGCATAACTTCAAGCCTTAATAAAACGTAAATGGGTGAGTTATATAAAAATTCACCCCCCGTACAGCTGTCATGAAGGAAAAATTAGCTATAGAGACCAAAACTGTTTTTTGTACCAGGCTGTAAACGTATAAACCTGCTTCTGGAGCCAGCCTCAAGTGGCCGTTCAAAGAACTGCAGTTTTTGGTAATTCTGTGTTGGCTTCATTTTGCAGCCCAAGAAGCTGCTGCTTGTTTGAGAAAGAAAAAAACCAGAAAACACTTGTTTTCTGGTGTTTTTATAGCGAGACAATAGCGGCATTTTTAGCAGCGATTGTGGCACCAAAACTGGCGATTGTGGGTTTTTTTTGCAAGA